GCTCAGAAGTTGGTCGCCTTAATCCGTGTAAAATAAGTAATTTATGTGAGGCGTTTAGAACTCTAAAGCCTGGTGCACACCTTTGTTGTGTGAAATGCAAATATGTATTCACGCGTTCCCTTATTTGCCGATATATAATCATAAGAATTTTTCATGTAGTATATTAAAAAAAAATTCACACACAGAAAAACAAAAAAACTCTCCTTAGTGTTAAAACAAAATAGTTTTAAGAAAACCCTTAGTAAACAGCTGAAGCAAATTTTTGTAAGCTAAAATAATGTAACATTAAGGCATTTAAAAGAGGAAATATTATATATGTTTATTTGGTAAAAAAAATTGCTGATAAAATGAGAAAATTATACAAAAACTTAAATAAAAAAAATAAAAAGCGTAGACATTTGCTAAACTGTTACATAAATATATACATAAATACCAAACCAACTAGTGAATGTGCATGAATTGTTGTGGAGAAGTTGGAGATGGCATGATTGAAATTCACTTGAATACAAATGCAGGTAGTTATTAGAAATGCAGTTATGAATACATAAGAATAAAACGCTTAATCATTCGATATAAATATAAAAAAGAAAAAGGAAAATAAGAACAAAACAAAGAATTATATAAAGTGAGATGATAAAAAAAAATAAATGCATGCATACATCTAAAATATAAATAAGTGATCATCCCTGCACTAATTTCATAATAACGAATACAGTTATGTATGAACGTTAAACATTTTCAAATGCAAAATCGTAAAATCGTAGGAGCTATGTATGTATTTGTAATGGGTGGGAATATGAGCAAAATAGTTCTAACTAAATATATACACATATATATATACAATACATACGTATATAAAATTATATATATACATAATAAAATTAAATTTAAAAAATATTAAAAAATAAAATATTTAATATGTGAAGCGTAAAACTGAAAACTACCGCAAATCACACTAAACAAACTAAGTAAAACATAACATATAGACATACACACCTGCATACATACATATATGAAGTGTAAGCAAAAAATTAATGAGTTCTGTATTAAGTCCTTTTGTTATTATTATGTACATCTTATATATACTATACACTACTAAATAATATATTATAAAACTAGCAGTACATACACAACTAAACATATAATTATGATAAACATATGTATAAATAACACTGTGCAAAATTTAAATTGACCGAAAGTGTGCGCTATAATATTAAATTTTAATTAGGGGATGTAAATTTGTATGTAGATACTCGTTTTGGGCTTAGATGTAAAAAATAACAAAAAAACTTTTATGGTTTTTAAGCTTCAAATTCCTTTTGATTATATTCGCATAATAAAACATAAAAATAATTAGTTATTTTTAAAAGTTGTTTGTTATAATCAATTTAATAGATGAAAAAAAGTTGAGTTCTTTTTATGCGGAATTGTTCGAAAACTCATCAAGCAGGACCATGTGTATACAATAATAATAACAACAACCATAGTATACATAAATGATGAAATTGTCTTTCACGTCCCATTCTAGAACGGTAACCCACACATTTTTTGTAGAACAACAAAGAGTACTTGTACTTCTAAATTTATCTTTTTTAACAAGTATAAAAACCAGTTGCATTTTATTAAATAAATTTAAATTTAATTAATGATAAAGGTGCTCTATAGCTTAAATTGTCTTGCATTTTTGCCTTTTTTTTTTTTCTTTGTAACATATGTTTTTTACATTTTTTTGTAAAACGTACGTTTTTTTAATGTTAAAAATATTGGGCATTTTAATTCCAACTATTATGCTGGCCAAATGCTGTAAATGTTTGTTTTGTTAGTTATTTACCACATTTTTGTATTTTAAAGTGTGTTGATTTTTTTTTTAATGGTTAATGTAGATGTAAGTAATTTCCTAAGCAATTTTATGGAATGCTGACTAGTTGACAGCTATTGGCCTGTAATAATTCGAGGTCTGCTTCGGTTGGATCAGCCGACTGCCAGGAAAACAGTTGAAACAAGTGGTAGTTACAGATTATGATACCGTATATGAGTGCATGTGTGTATGTATATGAACATATCTTACCACATCGACCGGTACTACCTCAAACTCAACTATTTTTTTTTTTAATAAAATCAGTTAATCGCGTGAATACTTTTGTTAGTGAATACATACCCCCTTAAATTCATACATATGTAAATGAAAAATTGTATGTATGTATATACAATGGCGTATGTTTTTTAATTACGGGTCTTTGTGTTCTTGAAAGTTAACTTGCGAACAGGTCAAGTCTTAATTTTTTCTATTGTTCCGTTACACGCTTTTCCCCATATTTGTTGCTATATGAGAGAAAGAGATAAAATGTTAAAAAAATATATATAATTGCTCTCGTGATTTTAACTTTTTAGCGAATTACACTTGTTGAAGGCATATTAGAATGGTTTTTAGTGAAATTTATTCAATATTTTCTGGTTCTAATGGGGTTTCGAACTTATCCGAATATCTATAGCAGAAGAATTTACCGTTAAAAATGCTTAGTTCTTATTAATTGGTTAGTGTTAGCAATATTTGTAAATCTTATGTTTTATTATGCTTATATTTTTGAAAAATGTTGAGACTTTGAAGTCTGATCAAATTAGACTCAAAACAATCACATATTTCAACTTCATTCTCATGACAAATACACCTTCAACCAAATGACACTTGGTCTCACAGTTCTAACAAAACGGGCGTTAAATAAGGGATCCTCGTAGCGCTTTAGTCCTGTATTTCTACCGCAGATTAGCCTTAGCCATTGAGTGATGAACGCCACTCAATGCCTTAGACCAAATAAGTGATTGTTAATATTAAATTTTTTTACTTCAAATATTTAATTTTTATCTCACATGTACTAAATRCGGGTATGAAAAGTTCTTATACTTAAAAAGAAAAAAAATACTATTGTATAAAAATGCTCGATTTCCCGTCCTATCCATTGATTTTGCTATCAAATTTCTCTTGCACATACAGGCACATTGATCCTTTCTCATTTAGACGTTCATAGTGTAGAAAGTTGTCTAAATGCATCATCGATCATCCTCGATGGTTAATTAAATATGTAGATGTTGATAAAAATTCATGAATAAGTGGTACAAGGTGGAAATGTTGGACTCAGCCTTTCCCCTGCTATTAATTATGAAGAATAGGATGAAAAAATATATACTTATGTATTTAGAATTTTTTGTTGTACATGTTTGTATGTAGTTGTATGTAGTTTTATATGTAAATGTGTTTTTACTAAAACAAGTGAAAAATAAAAAAAAAMGTATAAAAACATAGACTAATTTTGTTTTGCTATGATTTTGAAATAATTATATACATAGAAACAGTAAATTTAATTAAAAACAAAAAAATATATATCTAAACGAACGAAAAAAAATATAATAAAAATATATAATAAAGTTGATGTAGCAAAGACGAAAATTGCAAAATGAGGACAAAACCAATACAACAATACAGAGCAAGAGTCTAATTTAAAGTATATTCGTATGTTACGTTAAACTAAGAAWAAAAAAAAAAAATTACGCAAACAATTATAACAAATAATAATTGATATACTAGGAAGAATGCAAAAAATATTATATATATGAGAATATATATACATATTTATATTAAAACAATTATCCGATTAGTACTAAAAAAATATAAAAAATCGGAAAATCAGGAAAAAAGCTATATCTTCGTGTAAAGAAGATCAAACAAGAAAGCATTGTAAACAACTGTTCTATCAGGCCCACTATAAAAAAACGAGTAAAAAGTATCGAAGATAAATACCCTGTGCACAGGAGAAAGAGGGAATCCCAGCTATGGATGATTGAAAAAGTTTTTGCTGAAAGCGAAACCTATCACATAAGAGAAAATCAATCAACAATAAATATAAAATTATTAAAAAAAAAAAATAGAACACAATTTTTTGGAACGTTTTTTTGAAAGGTGTCTGATAATGGCCTCTATGTGTTGGGCGGTTGCTAACAATGTAAGGAATTAGTAATTCATTTTTATATGAAGATATAATTAATGGTACGATAAAGGTCATAAAATTAACATTCAACAAAGTTAAAAAATGGTTATGAAATTTCTTCACGAAATTTCCAACCGGATAAGTTTAAATTAGCTCAAAGTTCTTAATGATTTTTAAAACATTTTTTACACATTCGCTTCCATATAAATTATGTTTAAATTTGGTTGGTCTGTGCTGCGATTAGCTGGCTAAGAAATGTTTGCGGAAAATTTCCTCAAAATTAAATAATTTGATTTTAGAAAAGTACTAAGCAAGAAAGCGCCGGTAAGCATGCAAACTTAACGTTTTATTATAACATTTCGGTTATAATTAATTCACAATTGTTTAAATCGGAGTCCCAGAACCACCCGAAATATTAGTATTCCAAAATTAATATCATAACGGTGGGAATTATTAGGATTACACTAGTTTGCAGTCATTTTGAGACTTCTAATTTTACTGTAGTCAAGCCACCGCCACCATTTACTAAATAGTTAAAAATACCTGTATATGATGGAGAATTGAATTTTGAACTTAACTACGGCATCAGGACAACTCAAATACACCACAGACCTCTTAGCACAACAATCGCAGAATTTTTCCTTAAGATGTGAAAGCACAGAACGCTTCACGCTTCATCATGCATTTATCATCCGATTAAATTTCGTTGTACTGAAGGCCATCAACCTCCAATTTGAACGTTGGCGTGTTTGTATTTTGAAGATTTGTATTAAAATATGTGAAAATGTTGATTTTTTTGTCAGTCCGGGTCAATTTTGATCATATGGTTAAAATTGAGGCCCATATGTACATAAATTAGAATCGTGTACAAATATTCCTAAATTAGAACGAATTAATCACATATTGCTCGACGTAAGGAAGTGTTTTGTGACGGAAAGCAGTTAAGCTTGTAAAGCTTTTGAAAGTTTGAAAAATGCATTGTGCTTATTTCGCATTTGTATTTGACATGTTGCAACAATCACTCTTGTATACTTGGCAGTGCATCATTTATTCTCGTACTCTATAGGTTTGTACGCAACAATACCACCGGATATCGGGTCGAGCGAAATAAAAATATTAATTAATGGTAGAAAGTCAGTTTGTGTGCATATGTAATAGATGTGAAAGCGGAAAAGTGATAGCATTTATGGAATAGTTAAATTTTCTAAAAACAGGATTTTATGTGGTATACGCATATTTTATTTTGAAATTGCTCAACAGCGCACTTAGAATGAAATTGGACGATTTTGGCGCTGGTTGCGTCGGTGGTGAGTAAAAGCGTAAAATAATCGATGTTTAAATTTTACTTGTATTCAATAAATTGCGTACTAATTTATTTAATTTGTTGAATTGGCCCTATATTCATACAATTTTCGCTATTGATTAAATTGTGATGCAATGCAATACATGTGCCGTTACACAAATGTTCAAACAAACGTATGTGAGTAGGAGCGCAAATAATTAAATTGCAAACCTGCAATTACATTACATGCACAAATACACACACGCATATGCGCTCGCTTAAGTTAATGAAATTCAAAAGTTATCTAGCCTCCCGAAAACGATCCATCGCCGCTACACGTGTTCGGGCATCGTATTTTYAATACTCGCTTTTCATCCGCCTGCACACTTGTTCAAGTTCATGACTGGCGCCCCTGATCTTTTGGCATTTGAAATAGAAACCTACTTTCTCTGAGGCACTCTTCTAATTACGGTTCCTACACACACTGACATACATACATACAATCTACCCACGTACTTACATCTGTTGATTAACATGTGGCCGCATCGCATAAATAAATATTATTTTTTTGTTGTTTTTTGAACAGGTGCTAGAATTCGAAGTGCAATTTTCTTGTGCTCACTTGTAAATGAAATTATGAATTAAACAAGTGAGGACGGGATAAGTTCGGGTGCATTCGAACATTTTATACTTTTGCAACTTGCAGGAATCAAAGCCAGAAAAATTCTTTGAGGTGTAAATAAGTCAGACAGAGAATCGGAATCCAAACAACTTTATATATTATGTATGTCGGTCAGTATTGCATCAGTATTCGGCATAAGGTTTGTTAGAAAAACGAAAATCATTATAAGTAGTATGTGGGAGTTGGGGATAGTATCGACCATACAATCACCAATCTTATGGAGTAAAGTTATTCGGATCTTCTAAAATCCTGATAGTAGTTTTATGGGGGCGAGGTCAAGTTTTCGCCCAATTTTATCCACATTAGGCACAAATATACACTGTTATGAGTAAAAGACGCTCTTTTAATTTTAGTAAGATAACTAGCATATTTAGAATTTCTCTGAATTTCAATTGTATATCCCACACATTGACCGATATTTTCGGTCAACAACCACAATAGATACTGAGGTCTACAATTTCGGTATCTAAGGGCGTGAGCAGTTTTGGTTGGATTTGGCCAATTTTTGGACATAAGGTGGCATACTTTAAAGGAATTATTAGTGCAAAGTTTTAGTCTGTCAAATTAATTCTTGATTTGTGTACTGGAAAGTGAAAGAATTAAATGGAATTTAAAATTGTGCTTTATTAKAAGTAGGCGTGTTAAGAAAGCGTACTAAATTTGGTCTAAATCGGTCGGTCGGGTAAAGATACATATATTTGATTTCACCAAAAAGTGGGCGGTGCCACGCCCGTCCTCTAATTTTGACACCGGCTCCTAAAAGTCCATCTCATAACATATTGGAGGTAAAATTTAATGTCTCCGTCGTTTTTAGTTATTAAATTATTGCGCTTTTAGTAGTTTTTAATAATACCGATTTCATTAATTTTCACACTGCTGGTAGGAGTTCTCATAATAYTTGTGTTAAGMAAATTTGGTTGTTTTTGCTTTAGTGGTTTAGGACACGATTCCGGATTGCAACTCGTCTCGTCATCTTGATCATTARTATATATAACCCTATATCTATCTCGATTACTTTTACGCTACACAACAACAACAAAACTATTACATGCTGTGGTAACATGCTGCAGAAGTATAAATGTATACGTACTATGTTCATATGAATGTGTGCACAGATCACTTAGAAATTAATAGTTCGTGTTAAATAAGGATTCCCATCTGCATACTATGTATGTAAATGTGGCCGCTGTAGGTGGTCCCACTAACAACTAGAGTCTAAATTTGCATTTGCTGAATATTACAAATAGTGAATATCTACTGAAAGCCATCCGTTCAAAACCAGTCTATAGCATAATCAAAAATTTACAATGCGCCCTTTTACCAGTGATTGCAATAGCCAAATCCATATTTTAGAACGGCAMAGACATGCTTAAATTTTGGTTGAAATCTGGAGCAAGTATATGTGGAATATAAACCAGAGAGTATTGTTTGGCATTTCATCATGGAAAGACTTACGCCTGAACAACGTTTGCCAACCGTTCAACTTTATTACGAAAATTTACTTTCTATAAAGTGTGTTTCGCGCGCTTCAGTCAACTTATGGGCAAAATAATCGGCTTACTGAGCATACTATTTGCATCGAATTTTCGCATTTACGTCGAGCATACAAAATACAGCTTTTGCAAGAACTGAAACTTTCAACCTTCTCATGTGACATCGCTTCGCTCTATGGGTTCTTGAAAAGTTCCAAGGATATCCGACGTTTTCGAACCAAATTCTGTTCAGCGATAAGGCCCATTTCTGGCTCATTGTGTATGTGAGCAAGAAAAATTCCAGCCTTCGGGGTTACTTTGTAGGGGAAAAATAAAAATTAAACATAACGATTTTGGGAAGAAAGAAATATAAATTAGAAAATAATTATTAAATATTATTTATTGTACATTTCCACATTACTATTACGGTCCCTGGTTTCACCCTCTTATTCTGGATATTTGACGATGTCATTGTTTCAGAGTAGTCTATGGAAATTAATTTTGAAACGAATGCGAAATTTCCATTAAAAAATTCCTTGATTAAAAAAACAAAAAAACGTTAAACGTTACTCCAAATTTTTGGCAAGGAGCCTTAGAATAAGAGTCACCTAATGTTTTCAAGGTGCGCAGAAACCTAGTCATGACTTAAAAATAAAATTTTTATTACTAACAAGACGATATTTATCCTAACATTAAAAATGCAATTATCTTAAAAACAAGAGCACATAGGATATTTTCATGAATAAGATCGTTATCTGGATTTCGAAGCATCAAAATTTGCTAGATATCCAGGGCAACAAAAAAATTAACTTTGTAGAGCWGCGTAATTTGTATATTTAAATATTTAATAGTGTCTCCAAAGTTTCCTCCTGGATATTATAAACTTCACAGCAAATGTATTATACTCTGTTCAGAGTATAATCAGTACCGGTTTTAACACTATCAGCGCCCTGGACGAGATTTCTACGGCGCCYTCCAACTGCAATTCAAACCCATTCGAAAAAAGGGAAAACATTTAATGAAATAACCGTTTATTAAAATAAATAATTCTTTATTATTTATTATTTATTACAAGTTCCTCACACAACATACAACCATCTATGTCTGATTTAAAGTCTACAGTTAATTTTAATTGGAGATCACTACAGAGCTTGACAAGGTCGGGTTTTTCTGGAATCTGTTTAATATTGTACAAAAAAGACCAAGATTTCGAGTAGTCATTTAACTGTTCGAACCTTTCATTGACTGAWATTAATGTAGTGTCCAAAAGATGGTTGAAAAATTCAACCTYAAATTTTTTTCTGGAGAAGTTATAGGGTCATCGCGTGCAATTTCACTAGCTTGACGCTTAACACGTAGAATTCTTGTCGTAGCTCGAAATACAGGTTCAATTTCTAGTTCTTCGTCCAACTCCTTCCCTGTTAAAATAGCGCTTTAAAAGCCGTATTTCAGTAGTCTTCCAAGAAATTGCAGCATTTTTTCAACATTTCTGTACTCGATAGTAGAAACGGATAGTGACGAACATAGCATCGCAATGGAACATGGACCGTCTGGTTACTACTTCGCGTCTGTTTGTTTTAAAATAATTGTTTTGTATGTGCACCGATTTTATGAATGCGAATGAGCTGAGTTTGTTACKCTTCGCTAAAATAACGCTAGCTCTTTTTAACCAAAAAGTTAAAAGTAGATAGACAATCTATCTATGATTGGGGATTCCCCGTAAAATGAACTCCGATTGAACAGATTGAATAGTGCGTTCCATTCAAGTGTTGCTAATATAAAAAAATCCGCTTAATTTAGGGAATTTACGACTAAGCAGACCTYGAACTATGAGCATGAGCTGGGAGCGCATGCGGCGCCCCTTTTGACCGCCACCCTACCCTAACAGCGCTACTGCGTATAATACAGTCAAAATTCACGACATCTTTACAGAGACTTTGGGCTTAGTTTCTCTCATGTAACTTTAACGATTATATTTCATAAATAGTAGAGGCAACTCCTATACTATGTCTAATTAAAACAGTAGTAATATAARTAAAACAGAGTAATATAAATAAAACAGAGTAAATAGTATAAATATTTTAATTTGATAGGCGCATGTGGAGTTCTCATCGGTCATCCTTGGGACACTATTAAAACATGGCAACAAGCTTCGAATTTATCAGTACCAAAGGCTATATGTCAAATCTACAATCGTAACAATGGGGTAAGTTCTTGTGCTCACTTAAATGCACAGCAATTACTATCTGCAATCAAATATACATATGTACGAGTAGAAAAGCTTAATATTCAAATAAACTTTTTAAAGTTAAATGGCTTTTACAGAGGGATGCTATTTCCGTTCGTCACAACCGGCGCCATTAATTCAATACTCTTCGGTATCTATGGCAATCATTTGAGACAACTACGCCGGGTTTGCCACAGTGATTATCAGCGCGAACAGTTGGAGTATCAAAATATGTTCATTGCTGGATCCATTGCTGGCTTTGTGCAATCTTTTATAGCATGTCCTATTGAGTTGGTGAAAGTGAGACTTCAGACACATTGCTGTAAGTGCGAAATAGACTGAATGCTTCTAAAATAAAAATATTAATCTATATCTGTTAATGTTTTACACATAGATTATAATGAATATATTTTCGGACAAAGGCGAACACCATGGGGTGTTTTTAAAAAAGTTATAAAAGTTGACGGAGTTTCTGGACTGTACAGAGGCTTGTTACCTATGATGTGTCGGTAATAACTACATAATATTGTAATTATTATTTAAACACGCTAATGCTTCGATTTTTATAGCGATGTGTTTCCTTACGGTATTTATATGATGGTGTACCGTCAAACTGTTGACTTCCTAGAAACTACACCGCTAGTCCGTAAACGGCGAAGGTCAAATGAAGGTTCTAATGTTGACTTTCTGGTGACAACATTGGCGGGCGCTTGGGCTGGTATTCTTTCATGGGTGTGTGTGATTCCTTTTGATGTGGTGAAGACTATAATGCAAGCGGAGAGTAATAAACAATACCGGAACATCAGGCATTGTTTGGTGAAAAATTTTAAAGTAACCTTTTTTGAAACAAAATTTATGCACATTTTTATCAATCATTAATAACGGTACGTTTGTTTATATATGTATGTAGCTATATGGATGGCGTCGTCTATTCCGTGGCAGTTGGATGTTAGTGGTTCGTGCAATGCCTGTAAATGCAGCAACATTTTTAGGATACGAATATGCTTTGGAATGGTTTCACAAATTAAATGACTCATATATTTGAGATTGAAACTCAATTCTTCTAACACATTACACAAATACATGCATACATACATACATATGTACATATGGGAACGCACCAATTAATCCCTCAAATTATCAAAATTTGATACCGTTACTTTTAATTTTATTTGTTATT